TTAAGTATTTTGTGAAATTTAATTTAAATTTCTATTATTCACCAATTATTATAGAAATAGATAGACTGTTCCTCGCTCTTTTTGCCTATATACCTACATAAGTAGATCCATAGATATAGCCTAATCTATTTCAAACAAAATTATTATTATTAAACTCCCTTATAATGCCAACTATAGGTTACAATACTACTTAAATTAACAATTCCTATCACATCATAGAAAAAAGATTTTTCTTTGTATGTACATCTTTTTTGACATCATATTTCACGTTCTAAAATTATACCCTTTGAAAATATGTATAAGTACATATATATATGTATGTAAATCACTTAATGTACTTACATCTTGTGTATATTTATATAAGTATATTAACTCCTGAATATCTTTATTGAGTAAAGCTTTATTGTACATATTATATACATATTCAAATAAGCAATCAAATAGCTGATTTTATACTCACCTACATTATACTCGTAATTAATCATACATCTTCAATATTCATCAAATCACTTGGTATATTTTCATTAAATTTCTTAAATCACTTTGTATACTTTAATTAAATTTCATAATTTTTCTTAAAAATCTTTCTTAATTGAAGACGTGGGGGCAAAAACCAGATAACTACGAATTTAGCGCAATTGCTTTTTTCGATTATTTAGAATAAAAATAAAATAACCCATCGTTTTAAGCTAAAACCAGACATAAAATGTGAATTCTTACATGTTTTCTATCAATTTTGTAGTTGTCTGCCTAATACTTTTACTGCAAAAACCAGATAAAATGTGCAATTGTCTTATTTATACACTAAAGACATGTCACTACATGTTTTTGCGTTGTCTGTTTTGAATCATATTCTTAATAATGTTTTTGTAGTAAATGATCAGTTGCAGGTGGTTTTTCGATGTAATAACATCTAATGTTGTTTTTGTGTTAAGTTTTTAATGTATGAACATAGATTATGAGTGAACTGAATATGAGCCCTCTAAATCATCAGAGGAAAGTGATATATTATCTAATTTACAGGTGCAGAAAGGTAAAGTATTTATTTTATTGAACTATTTGAAACAGTGTTGAATACTAGACTTAATGATACTAATACTAGATTTAATAATATTTATAAGGCAAAAGAAAAATCACCGCTACTATTACGTGAAGAAACCTTGCCAATCAACTCAAAGAAGTACACAGATGTGATGCAATTAGCAGAAAAATATGTTTCCCGAGATGATATGGAATTTTATTTAAATTTAAAATCTTCTGCTCAATCCACATCTAGTGAATTTGGCGATTAAAAATGAATTTGATTAACATTTTATTAGTATGTCACCTCAAATTTTCAATTTTTGTGCAAGAACCAGACAATGGATTTTTTTGTTTTTGTTTTTTTATGTTTGAATAAACGATTTATTTATCTTTTCGTTATAAAAAATATTGAGTTTTATTAGCATTTCAAAATATATTGACACATTTTCCAATAAATATTATGGGTTACTTTTTAAAATAGTTTTTTGTCTCTCCTGAAAAATTTAAAAATTGTTAGTTATCTGGTTTTTGCCCCCACGTCTTCAATTTCTAAATAATTTGTAATTTTGAATAATATGCCCAATATTTTAACAGGAAATCAATATGAATACAAATTTTGTATTAACATTGAATTCCGGATTAATTTATCCTGATTTTTATAAAAAAGCACAATAAATTTTAAGTAAATTTTCTTTTTAATTTTCTCTTTATGATTCCTTTCTTGTGAATTCATTTTTATGTACTGTACGACATAAAGGATGTCCAAAAAGTCATTTATATACCGCTATTCTATTAGACACGTCACTTTTTTTTGGTATTCTACTAGACGCAAAATATGTGAAAGAAGAAGCGAGACTCGAAATTATTTTTAATTAGACTGGTGACAATAAAAAAAAAGCGTAAATAATAAATTAACAGTAACTTAGAGAAAGATAGATGTTTTCGAACTTTTTTTGATTTTTGTGTAAAAGCAGAGGTAAAAATGAAAAAGAAAATTAATAAATTGAATTTTCTATTAACTCGATTAAAATTTGAAAAATATGAAATTGTTTCCGATTGGTTACTTTTACATTGAAACTAATAAAATGAAAATTATTTACACTGAAAATAATAATGGATCGCGTCTAGTAAAATAAGGCTGTAAGTATATTTTGTATCTCAAAAGTAAAGACTAATCGAAATTTATTTTATTTATCAAGATTCAAGACCTTTAAAGCTTCTTTGTACATTAATCATTTATATATGCCCATGCATATATGAATACATGGCTTGTACACATGAAATGCAATACTATAGTACCATATTTATAGGAAATAATTACAAAGGTTAGTACGTAGATCTAAATTTCATATTTAAAATTTATTATTTTATGATTAGAGCTATTAGAATTAAAATTTTCATGCTTTACCTTACCCACATTATAATATTAAAATTCTTTAAAGTTCTATATTAAATTGTAATTCTAATTTTATTAAATAACAATTTAAAACTTTAAGCAACAGCAGATATTTAATCTACTTTAAAAGGAATATAGGCAAAGTTTTAATGATTCATATTTCATATTCATTCGATTAAGTCCAGAATGAATAATATCAACTAGATTACTAAACCACGCCTGCTTTGAATTTTGATAAAGATTTTTGATCACAGAATTTTGAAGGTTGTTACAAATAATTTTTTATCTATGTCATACATAAGAATATAAAAACTAGACTGGCTCCAGACACAAATATAATCCTTTAACATATTATGCAATAGAATTTATATTACAAGTATGTACTAACAAATTTATCTTAAATAAAAATAAATTAATATTTAGAAAGAAATATGTACCTAGAATTACATAGAAGAAAACTTTTACTTTAAGAATTAAATACAGCCAATATGTAATAGAATTATTACAGAATTGCAACTAAATTCGATTTGTTAGATGAGCTTCCACATGTTTCAGTTTTCAAGTAGGTACTACTTTTGCGTTTGATGGTTTTTTTCCTGCAAGTGATTTGAATTCATTATTATTTTAAATACATGTATAATTATACTTTAATTTATATGTATATTTATTTACTCTACTTAAATACATTTGTGGAAGAATAATCTTGTCTTATTTGTTTCAAAACAATAGGAAATTGCCGAAATAAACCAATCTTTTTTAACGAAATTTTAATTTTATTTTGATTTAATATGATGAATGAAATCAATATGAATAAAGCTTTTTTTTTACTAACATTTTAGTATTTAAAGTTTCAGATAAATATTCCTCGTATGAATAAAAAAAAGCAATAATAAAATGAGAGGCTAGATGCCAAATAGGACCATATTTTTAAGTTGTATCACATGTACAATGTACGTGATTTTTTTACATGAAACCATTTTTAGACTTATAATAAAAGGATTTAGTTATATTTCTCTATGATTCTAAGAAAAATATAACCGAATTAAAATCTTACATTTTTATTAATAATAAATTACAAGTTTTTCATTTCGTTTATGATTTTGTTCACACGAGCTCTACTCTTCTATCTAACATTATATAATTTTATTTTATAGGTACGAGTTTATTTACAAGAAATATAAAATATTTTCTAGAAAGTTTCTTTAAAATAAGAAGAAAATGAAAATATTAAAATTTAACGCTAAATTAAATTTAATTTAGTATTGTTTTATATTAAATTTCCTTTAAATGAAAAACAATATAAATAAATTTCTTATTACAAAATTAAAAAATTTTAAACTGGCAACATGAAAGTATAACCATTAAATCAATTACTTATTTTAAAAGTTGAAGCTTGTTTATTTAAGTATTATATTTGAAAAAAAGGAAAATTTTAGAGTTTACCAAATTTATAGTATGGCATACTTTGGAATATTCGACCTCTAAATTATTTACGTAAAAATAATTTTAAATTTTTTAAAAATAAATAATTTGGAATTTTGTATTTGTCGTTTTCAAAATTATAAACACAGAAATACGGAAATACATGCTTTCAAATTTTAAATTTTTGTAGATTAAGAGAAATCTAAAAAATATTTCAAATTTTTTTCAATTACTTCGATTAGTTTTGCATACAACAATAAATTCAAGACATTCATGTATGCTATTAAATTAGTTTTTACATGCAAATGTACAAAGTATTTCAAATATTATAATGCCTATTTTAAAGTATAAACAAAAAAATACTTTACAAGTTTTTAATATTGGAGTCACATTCTGAGCCCTTATGACAGTGTTAAAATATTTATTAAAGCTTTCTATACTATATTTTCTATTCTCTATAATATCTGCATGCAGAACAATGAATAAGTAATATTGTCCAAAATAACCTAATAATTTTTATAAGAAACACTGAAAATGTTTTTGCAATTTAGTTGTATTCTTTTAATATATCGATACAACTGAACGACATATATGTATGTATATAAATAACATAAAATTTTCTAAAAATATAAAAAACTTTTTCTAAACGACTAACTTCTGATACTATTGTTCTTTTATACAAATTTTTGTATAAAACACGATGACAACGCTATTTTTCGTCTTTTTTAATCTTTTTTTATGTTTCTTTTATTTGTAAATTGTATTAACGTTGTTAACTTAAAAGAATTTCCACAAGTATTGTATTTATTTAGCTAGTTATCTGTGTTAGTTAAACAACTTTAAAAGTTTTTAAAAGTAATATCATGAACAAGTTTGTGATATTTTGGTAAAAGAAACAAGAATTTTTCTTATTTCATATTTTCTTAAAATATACTTAATGTCTTTAGAAATTTTTAGTATTGAATGTCACTAAAATTAAGTCAGTTGTTTATACTTTATTGTACAAAGCTTTAATCTATATTTTATTTCATTATCAAAGTACATGAATATATTATGAAAATTATCAAAATTTTATGTAAATATAATTGTAGTTGTTCTATTTCTTCTAGCATATTTTCATTCATCTTACGATCTAAAATAGTTCAGTATTTAATTTTGATGAAAAAATTACTTTATTAGTCTAACTATAACAATTATCGATTATTAATGTTAACAATTTTTGTGTGAATGAAAATTACTTTAATTTCATATTTCAATGAAAAGCAATGAAGTTATATACATTTCAAATAATCAATGCTAATGCATTTGCTCTTCTTGTTGTATTTTGGAAAAGCGCTCTTATTAAATGTTTAATTTCCTCGGCTTTAAAATTCAATGTTAAAGGACCTTTTCCTTCAGACCATTGCTCAGTAATATCCAATAATGAGGCACCTAATATCATTTTCAACTGCATTAATTTCATCCATGATTTTACTTGAAAAACTTCTTTCTTATCCTTTAAAACAAAATATATTAATTTATAATGTTTAAGGTATTTTTTTTTATATTTCATTACTTCAAAAACTCGTGGTGCTCTATCTTCAATAATGCCTATTATTTCAACAAGTTCATGTGAAAGTGATGTTGAAATATCTTCAATTTTCATAATATTACGTATAATTTCATTAAAGAAATCATTTAGTAAACCGGAAACTTGTTTATTATAAAACGTTTCGGGTAAAATTTTCTGCCACACATTTTTTAATAATTCTAATTGACGAAGGCATTGTCTTGTAATTTTCTGTGGCCCAATTCCAATATCTGATACAGCGTCAGTTAAATCTAGAAAAAAAATAAAATTTAGATTTTTTTTAAATTCTAAGTTAAAGTATGTACATTTTAATTCACAAATGATGTAATAATATTGAAACTTACCAAAATCTTTCAAAATATCATGCAATTGGGAGTGTTGAGATTTTACTTGATTTGAAAAATATTCGTTTCCTAGACTTTGTAATGACTGCGCCAATATTTGGAAACCTTGAATATCTTTCTCGCACGTTTTAGTTAACCAGTGAGCTAAATACATACAATTATTGTAAAAAAGAGCTGTTTGTTGTGGTATCATATTTAACATTTTTTCATGATATCTTGGAACTTCGATCATATATTGTTCAATAATGGACGATATTACAGATAACCTCTCTGATTTTTCTTCTTTTGAGGCAAAAGCTTCCTCAATAACATTTTTCATTACAGATATTAGTTCCTGAAATTATTATTTTTTTTTTAAATAAATAAATATTATCTAATTTTGATAATCGAAAACTTACAAGAGAACTTTTTGACACCATACATTTGGGAAATAAAAAGGGATCCCTTTCGAGTTCGGAAGGTGTATTTTTCTCAGCAACTAATATCATATCATGTAAATCTTTTCGTAAAATATCAACTGTATCATGTAATATTTTCGTTGTAAAACGTTTTCTAAATAACGTTCCAACACTCTCTGTAAATTTTATTAACTCTTTATCATTAGTTTCATTTATCAAATACATGTCGGAAAGAACTTTGCTAAATTTTATCACATCTTCTTGTAAAGTAGATTCCCTCATTTCATCTACAGATTTCGGGATCGCATACATTAAACAATCGTTTATTAAAATATCAAGAACTTTTACTTTTAAATGCTCAGCGAAAACATTCATTACAGAAACTGTATCGGAAATTTGAACATTAATGTAACTTAAGCATGTTAAAACTGCTGTAATATTTTCAAATACGGTCTTATAATTAACTCGTAAAGGTAAATCAGTATTTGGCTCTGTTATATTATAAGACAAAAGTAATTCAACATATTCTTCACTACAATCGTCGTTAAAATCTAGAGATACTGTTTTTGTAATAATTGGATGAAAAACATTTTTAAATAGGAATTCACACATTTTACTTGCGTTATATTTAGCACTAAATAATGCTACTGCAACATCATTTAATTTGTTTTCATCTTTTGATATTTTTAAAGTGATGGATTTAGTATTTTCAAACGATTTTTCTTTAAGTTCTACTAACTGTTCAAAATATTCTTTAAGATTATGTAAAAGCATTTCATATTCGAAGTGATATTTTATTTTGATGTTCTTGTAACATAAAAGACGAGGGAAAATCTTATCTTTAGGATCCATAATTAAATTTTTTAATTTTCCTACAATATCTTTTACAATGAGGAATTCTTGTCTAGATTTTTCTTCTTCCAAGCATTGAAATAATTCATCTATTTTTAAGATTTTATAAGTTGTTTTTAAACCTAATGAGATTTCTTTTAACTCATCTTGATATTGTTGTATTTCTTCATTTGCTGATGCCAAATGCTGTTTATCTTCATTTTCAATTTTTTGGAGTAAATCATCAACCTTAAATTAAACAATGTAAATCAATGTAGACTTAAAATTCTAGACAAAATAAAAGTACTGTAAATATCTTACTTCTCTCACTAGTTTCTCACCCTCATTCAAAAGTAATTCATTGGTTGTAAGATTTGGAAGAAATTGTTCATAATTTCGCTCTATATAAATTTTTGTTTTTTCTTGATATCGTTTGATTTCAGCAGAAATTTTAGCTAAATTTTTTTTTACATCCGCATTATCACTACAAACATTTGTTATTGTTTCTCTTATAGAAGTCATATTCAAATTGGATCACTGCAAATCTTGCCAATTTCAAATTTATATAAACCAATTTATTTTCAAACAATATATGTAGATAGCACAGATGAAAAAATTGAAACTGAACTAGATATTTTAAAACAATTATAATAAATTCACTAATCCATAGAGTTTGTTTATAAAATTTTAACTGTTGGCATTTGCGCGTATGAATTAAATCTGACATATTATATGACAGTACTTGACATATAATAACAAAGACTCTCAAACTGTTTGCGATTTTTTCATAGTGTTGCCTTAATGCTGTTATTGACTCTTGTAGTATATTACTGACTCATATTTAAATGGAAATGGAAAAAATCTCAGAACTAGTATTATTTGAAATCTCAAAAATATATTTGAAAAAAATTTGACAATAAAACAAAAAACATTAAAAACAGTTCTTAAGCTTACTAAATGTGGATAATTTTTTAAATGTGGAAAATATTGTCGAGTCGATTAGTTATGCATGTCCAATTTTGCTTGATTTTGTAAATGCTGCCTTGAATGTATTTTATATGTACATATAAAAAATTGCTCTGTTTTTCGAAGCACTAAAACGACATTGCAACGGCACTAAAATCGCATTTATCTGAGGATGACTGTATAATTATACATTTGAATAGATTATTCCTAGAAGAGACAAATCTTGAAGCGATAGTCATAGTTTATTGTTAAAACTTGGTTAGTATTATTGTGGACACAAACCAATTCGTTTAATTGTCTTGAAGATTCGATTGTGTTTTGTTTTTTATAACCTACGAACGCACTAAAACACACATTATATACATAGTTTCTCGTTTGTGACTTGCAAAAAAATATTAAAATTATCATTGCAAATATTTATAAATCACTTGGTATGAAACTCTTTCGAATTTTAATTAATATCATAATTAAATTACATAATTATACTTACATATGTACATAATATGTATGTAACATAGGTATTATTTTCCCTTTTTCCCTTTTATTTTTTAATTTTCATTCACAAAAATATAAGAATTCTTAAATAAAATTGTACGATTCCTTAACATAATCATATTTTTCTATCCTTTAGCACTTTTAGTAATATTCTTATTTTATATTTGTACTCATTTGATATTACATGTATGTATATATTTTTGCATCACTTTATAATATTTGAATATGAAAGTACGTATAAGAACACATATTTCATGTAATTAGGATAATTTTGCTCGCGGCACATAAGGATCATTAATTTTCATAAAAATCGTTGATATTCTTAAGGCCTTTTTGCGGAATTTCAATTAATTTTGTTACCTTTTGAATTTTTGCTCTTTTTCCTTTTTGATATTTTACAATACTTAAACTACTATACAGTGCTACCTTAATAAGATTAAAAAAAATATTCTAATGGCATTGGTGAACAAAATTATTTAAATAGGGATAAATCGAGGAAAAAAGAAAGCATAAAAGTAAAAAAACCAAAATACAAAAAATTATTTTCTGTAAGTATCATAAATTGGCTTAAAAATTTCATCTTTATATTAATATTATTATTCGGTATATATTTTAAACTAAATTGAATGGCAAACGTTTGATAATCAGAGCCCACATTTTGCTTTAAAAAGTTATAAGAAATAATTGGAATTTTATCTTTTGTGTGTATTAAAGAATTTGTAAGGTTAATTTTTTTATGCTTTTAGTTTTTGTTTTATAAATGTTAAGTTTATCCTTAATTCTTTTGCATATTTTATTTTAATAAAAAGAAAAAAATCGGTAATACCAAGGACATTGTATTCTACGGTCTTTCATAATTCTTTTATTATTTACATAATATTATGTATTATATTAAGAAATTATTTAAGGAATATAAAAAAATTGGTTTTAAATTTATAATACCTATACGCAATGTAATGTATAAGGCAAAATGCAACGTAACTTATGTAACGTATTAAAACACGAATCAACGGCAAAAACCAATTATTTCTTTTGTAAACAGTTTTACAAAATCTACTGTTTTACTTAGCATATTTTACAAACCAAAATTCGCTGAAAACAGCGAAAATTCACAAGAGAGTTAACGTTATGACCTTTTGTAAAAATATTATGTAACTCTACGTATTCCGTATACGAATATGTATTTTGAACAAATTAACATAAACTTTCTCGAAATGTCATGTAAATTTTCGGTAAACCAGGCGGCACAGTATCTGTTAATTAAACAGATGCTGCGATCTACTCCTTTTTAAAATAAGTCACAGAATATTTAATGTATCACAAAAAATGATTGTATTAAATATATTAAATTTTACATGTTTACTTATTTTTGTTATATGAATCCTTTAATTAGTTTGATCAACCATTATGTTATATAATATTATTTAATTGTAAGTGTATGTATTTAAATTTTCCAAACTTTATTAATCTGAATTGTGGGATAAGAAAATTTATGTAAAACAAAAAAAAAACAAAATGGTTTGTCTTAAAGTTCAAATGGATTACGAGTATAACCTATAAATAAGATTAAAACAGAATTTATTGTTTAAGCAATAAATGTGGGTACCAGGTTTGAATTACTAAGTATTACCAATATAGTATAATAAACTTTAATAAATAATAATATTATTTTGGAATGACAATCTTATTACATTTTCGTATATTATTATTTTCAATTTTGGGATTCAATAATTATTTTAATTTTCTTAAATTTATAGTTTAATTATTTTCATCAACTTGAATTTTTGTAATCAAAATGAAAATATATTTAATAATAAATTGCATATATTAAAAATATTTTAAAAATAAAAATTTTAGTTTTATAATTTTTCTTAAAATATTATCTAATTTTAGCTTGGGTTTCAAATCAATTGATATTATTTTTCTATATTAACATTACAGGCAAAAATCTGGTATAATTTGAATGCGATGAGGATCATTGATTGGAGGCATTCTTTTACTATTTTTATTTACAATCATTATTTACCATATTTTATATTTTATGTGTGTAAAAATTTAGAAAATAGGGTTTTTAAAATTTCAAAATGTTAGGCCTATTTTTATAGCTATATTATAAGTAAGGTCTGAATAGCTGGTTTGAACTATAGTTGAAAACTGCTATTTCCTTGATTTTCTCAAATTTTAATTTCCTTTCTTTATAAAATTTTTTCACAAAAAAGTAAATAAGCTTGTCTATTAATATTTGAAGTGTTTGAAAAAAAATCCGAAGTTTGTCATATTTATTTCCCTTTTACTCTTTTTGCTCTACTCAAATTATCAGCGAGTAAACCATGTCCTTTTGGATGCAATCAATCATAATTGCAAAATTCGATCGTGTATAGGAATAAAAAGATGCGACAAGGTGCCATTTTATAATTAACATTATAAATTTCCCATGTTTCAAAATAATTTTAAAAGAATTTTTCTATTAAATTTTGGTATTTGCAAAAATTTATTTCAAATTTTAATAAATTTATGTATACAGCTATTGCTTCATTTATTATTATCAACCAAATAAGATTGCATGGAGTAATAAATTTTTTCTCATTTGTTATGTACGATTTCTACAATTTCACGATTATTATTTATAGTTATTACCAATAAATCCTTTTTTCTTGATATCATCAAACTTAATAAATACATTTGGGATTGTCATCAATTATTATCTTTCTCATATTTTTATGAACCCGATATTTTTTTTTTATAGCAGGAGAGAATAAGGTTTTAAGAATACCATCAAAAATAATGTTATATTGTCGTATTTAGAATCCCTTGAGATTTCTCTTATGTTTTCTATAAGATAAACTAATAAAAATGAAAGTTATTTTGTTTATTAAGAAAAAACAATGTTATTCTTACACTATATGTAGATATATGTATGCAATATAAGAAATATTGAATTTAGTAATTTATATTACACAAATTAAGTTGCTGTTATTAGTAGGTCAATCGTTGTTAAAATTTTTCAAAAAAATTCATTAAGAGTAAAACTGTGATGATATCCTGTGGAGAATTATTGTTAAATATTGATTTGTATTCATACAATTTTGGATGTGCCCGATTAAATTTTGTTAGCAATATTATTTTATATTAAAAATCAATCTCGAAAAGAAAAAAAAATCAAGAGTAACCGCGATTTCAATTGAATTTTCAAAAGATTATTTCCTTAAATACTAGCTAAAGCGTCTTGAATGCTAAATTTCTTAAAACAGCAGACTAATTTTATTCTTAAAGGATTAAGATTTGAGTTTTTTTAACAATCTGACCCTCAAATTATAAGAGCAAGAAATTTTATAGAAAGCAGTTACCCAGTTGTTGTTTTATACATTACAATTACCAGTTTATGTAAAATCTTACAAAAATCTTAACTGAATCTTGAAGTTAATAAAAATTTATTTATTTTCAATCGTTTGAGTTTGATGAAAGCTATGTAATTGCAATAAAATTTTAATTCTTCATAAACTGTTTTAATTAAATAAATCTCTGTAGTAAAAATTTAATAAAATTATGATAAATTCATCATAAATTTAATAAAATAGACAAAAAGGACACACGATTTCTTCAACAATAGCACTTACAATAACAAAAATCTATTTGAAAAGAAAACGAGGATTCCACCAATCGAATATATACGATAAAGTTAGAGAAAATATTAATTGAAAACAATTTGTAACAATAATAAAAGTACAAAATGAAAAAGAAAACAAAAAATGAAAACCAAAAATAATAAATTCTTTTAACACCGAACACAAAGAAATAATAAAGATAAATTACAGAAAAGAAAGAGAGCAAGAAACAAAATTTTTTTTAAGAATGAAATGGAAAAATTCTTAATAGATGGCAGGCATATAAAGTTAAAACAAAACATAAAGGCTAATTTAGAATAAGAATTATTTAAACTTTCTTTTCTCTCTCCCTCTCTCTCCCTCACTCTCTCCCTGGCTCTCTCTCTCTCTATTTCTTTTCCTCTTTCCATTTATTTTCTTAAATTTTTTGTTATTTTTCTTAATTTTATTTTTCAATTTTAATTTAAGATAAAAGAACTTCAAAATAAAAAAGGAAAGAAAATAAAAACCAAACGGTAAAAGTTTTCTTTTTCAATTCAATTCCAGTTTTTGCAACTCGATTTTCATTTCGTTCTTTTATTCAATTACCGATAATATTTTTTTTTGGCAGAATCTGTT